TAGAAAAAGGGTCTCAGAATGTGAAAATGAAATTTTCAGAAAATCGATTTTTTGGCCAAATTTCGCGATGCCAAAGCCGCATCCCCCCTTAAATAATCCACAGCGACTATGATCCACCGATTTTCATCTGATGTCGGTAGAGGGCCATAGAGATCAATTCCGATTCGATCGAAAGGTTTGGCACGGCACGGAAGCGGTTGAAGTGCACCGGACGAGTGAAAAGGCGGCGATTTGCGGAGTTGACAGTCAGGGCAGCCCATAACGAATTTTCGGACAAAATTATACATTCCGCGCCAGCAGAATCGACAGCGAATGCGTTCGTAAGTTTTGAAAACTCCAGCATGGCCACATTGGGGATCATCGTGAAAGGTGGTGCATATTTGTGATCGCAAGCTGCGGGGGACAACCAAGAGCCACTTACAACCTTCAGGAGCGTAGTTGAGTCGGTGTATCAGCCGATCACGAATGGCGAAATGAGCAGCTTGACGTCGGAGAGATCGTGATACCGTAGTGGGTGACGATCCAGAGAGACAGTCAAAAAAGGGAAGCGATCCATGGGTCCTTGTGTTGTTCACTGGCAAACGAGTAGAGGTTGAGAGATGCGATGGAGGTGGTACCAGTGGTTCTGAGGCTGAGTCGGGAGGTAAAGGCGAACGGGACAGGGCGTCGGCGTCAGAATGCTTGCGTCCGCTGCGATAGATCACGCGAATGTCGTACTCCTGGATTTGCAGTGCCCACCGAGCTAGGCGGCCAGAAGGATCTTTCAATGTGGCGAGCCAACAAAGTGCATGGTGGTCCGTTACCAGGTCAAATGGGCGGCCGTACAAATAAGGGCGGAACTTGCGAAGCGCCCACACTAGCGCTAAGCACTCTTTTTCAGTGACGCTGTAATTGGCCTCAGCTTTAGTGAGCGTGCGACTCGCATAAGCGGCGACGTATTCGGAGTAGCCTGGCTTGCGCTGGGCGAGGACAGCGCCAAGACCAACCTCGCTAGCGTCTGTGTGAACTTCCGTTGCAACTGTTGGGTCGAAATGCCGTAGAATAGGAGGAGATGTTAGCAGTCTACGGAGTGTGGCGAACGCGACGTCGCTGTCAGGAGACCAGGATGAAAGGTCTGTGTCACCGCGTAAGAGGTTGGTGAGTGGTGGCATGATCGACGCAAAATTTCGAACGAAGCGCCGGAAGTACGAGCATAGTCCAATGAAACTGCGTAATTCTTTCAGTGTAGTAAGTTTCGGGAACTCGGCGACTGCTTGCAGTTTTGCAGGGTCGCGTAGAACACCATGCTTGGACACGATGTGCCCTAAGATGGACAGCTCTCGCGCAGTGAAGCGGCACTTTTTGAGGTTCAGTTGGAGCCCAGCGTTGGTTAAACACGTCAGAACCAGTTGGAGCCGAAGCAGATGTGTAGGAAAATCGGGAGAGAAAACGACAATGTCGTCGAGGTAGCATAGACACACAGACCACTTCAGTCCACGCAGTGTGTTGTCCATGAGTCGTTCAAACGTGGCAGGGGCATTACAAAGCCCAAATGGCATTATGTTAAATTCGTACAGGCCATCTGGTGTAATGAACGCAGTTTTCTGGCGATCAGCTTCTGCCATAGGGACCTGCCAGTATCCAGATTGTAAGTCTAAGGAGGAGAAGAATTCGGCTCCTTGGAGGCTATCAAGGGCGTCGTCAATGCGCGGTAATGGATAGACGTCTTTCCGGGTCACCTTGTTTAATCGCCGGTAGTCGACGCAAAATTGAATTGATCCGTCCTTCTTTCGAACTAGAACGACAGGAGATGCCCAAGGACTGTGCGATGGTTGAATAACGCGACGACGTAGCATCTCTTCGACCTTCGACGTTCTGCAGCAGAGACACGGTACGGTCTTTGACGCAATGGCTGGTGCGAACCGGTGTCAATGTAGTGATGCCCTGCCGAAGTACAACCCGATTACGGCTGAGAAACGTCGAATGAATTCGCGAAGTGCTGGAGAAGATTAAGAAGCTCGGCGCGTTCTTGAGCAGTTAAGGTGTCGACGATGGAACTTGAGAAGGTGTCACTCGACGAGCATTCCAGTGGGGAAAAGGCATGAAGTTCTGTATAGGCGCTACTGCACGATTCGTCTGGCATGTTAAGGAATAAAGAAGAATCAAGGTAATCCACTCGACCGAGACATTCGCCGGCAAGTAGCGTAAGCTCTGCAGAAAGGGGGTTGTGGACGAAAATATTGCTTTGGCCAGCAGTGACGTCAAGTGTAGCGAAAGGCAAAGAAACAGCTCTGCGGCGCATGAAAATGTCGGAAGGTGTAAACATTACCGTAGCATCGTTATAGTCATCGCAGCAAACCGGGACAACGGCAAGAGAGTCTGGCGGAATTTCAGTGTCCTCACGCACGACAAGTTTTGGCGACCGCTCAAGGGTTTCGTGCAAAGGTTCGTCACACAGGTGCGAAAAATGAACTTCCGCGCGTGCGCAGTCGATGATGGCATGATGATTTGACAGAAAGTCCCACCCGAGGATAACGTCATGCGAGCACACCGAAAGGACGATGAACTCGACAGCTTACATAGAGCCTTGGATGAATATGCGGGCCGTACAGGTGCCGAGAGGTCGAACTGGTTGTGCGCTAGCTGTACGAGCGGCGTGGTCAATTTGCGTAGGGAGCGGCAAAGCTGGGAGGCTATAACAGAAACGGCAGCACCTGTGTCGACGAGGGCAAAGGTAGAAAAACCATCGACAGATATGGCGACGACGTTAGCTGGTGAAGTGCGAGGATTTGAGCATTTCGACGACAGCGCAGTTCTTGCCTCTGGAACTGCAGCGTTCAGTTTTCCCGGTTGGAGGATGCGGGTCTAGGACGCATTGGGTACAGTGATCGCCTGCGAGGAGATGGGGAGCGGGGAGAGTGAGTCTGAGGTGAGGGCTGGGGTGACCGAGACTCGGGAAGGTTAGTGTATCCATACTGCAGTGAGGGATAGGGAGCAGGTATGTGCATGGGTTGTGGGTCATACGGTAACGGCCGAGTAGCGTCATGGAGGGGTTGGAAGCGACGGCGACAATATCGTGCCACGTGTTCTGGAGTACCGCAGGTGTAGCAGATCGGTCGATTGTCAGGAGTGCGCCAGGAGCTGCTGACTCGTGGTGCGGCCCAAGGTGGCGAAAAAGGGGCGGAGTGGGGAGCAACTGAAGACATGGGTGGCAAATGCTGCTGGCGGGGTCTGCTGCGTACCACCTGGGCATACGTAAGAGACGTGGCCACGGGCTGCATAGCCGGCGCATGGGCAACAGGCATGGCCACAGGCTGCTGGTGGGCAGCGACGGGAACAGCTTGAGCTACCTCTTCGGCAATAACGTCGTGGAGTGGGGAGGGCAGACGAGAGGACGGCGGCTGCTGCGTGAAGGGAATCAACGACAGTTGCCGAGCTACTTCTTCACGCACGAAGTCTTTAATCTCTTGCAGGGTTGGTGAGTGGTCGGGAACGGAAGTGAGACTGGAGAGCGAGTCGGCGTGTGAGGAAAATGGCCGAGTCGGGGCGCGCTGCTTGCTCAACTCGTCGAAACTTTGACACAAAGTGACAAGTTCCGCAACGGTGGCAGGATTACGGGCCAGGAGCAGCCGATATGCACCGTCCTTTATTCCTTTGAAGATGTGTTGAATCTTCTCCGACTCCGGCATGGTGGTGTTCACACAATTGTAAAGACCAATAATGTCTTCAATGTAGCTGGTGAAAGATTCTGTTGGCTTTTGTGCGCGAGTCCGCAAGCGTTGTTCGGCTCTGGACTTGTGGACAGCGGGACGGCCAAAAACGTCAGCAAACAACGTTTTAAAGATGGACCACGTCGTAATGTCGTTTTTGTGGTTGTTATACCACATTTCGGCCACGTCAGTGAGGTAAAAGATGACGTTAGTCAATTTGTCCGTGTCATTCCACTTGTTGTTTGCGCTCACCCGTTCATAGTTAGTGAACCAGTTTTCCACGTCGGTCTCATCAGCTCCGCCAAAGACCTTGGGCTCTCGCAAATGAAGAACGCCGGGGTTGCTGGGGGATGGAGTGGAAGAGCCAGGTTGCGCGTTGTTGGTAGCCATGATGGGAGGTAGCGTTCGGTTGCGCAGCTCCAGGTTAAGGCGACGGCGAATGGCAGCACCCAGGTTCAGGCGACGGGGAATGTCAGCACCCTCCACCAATTGAAAAAGGGTTTATTGGCGACTGTTGCGATGGTGGTCCTACGATGAAACACGATCGGGAAAGAGGAACGGTCAAGCAGATGCCGGCAATGATCAGCGCGAGCCGAGCGAGCCAAGCCCAGGACCCAGTACCCAAGCGGAGGCGATGTTGCTTGCCAACGATGTGTTTTCTTCTTCACACACATTTTAAAATGGATTTAGATTAAAAGTTCTCCTTAAATGACGTAACACATGCTTTTTGTTACCATTTATGAAAAACTAATATTATCGCAACGCACAGATTCTTACTCTACGTGTGAAAAATTTTGCAGTGTTTGCCACAAAGAACACAAAAAAAGCTGCTCATCGCACCAGTCGCAGAACGAAAATCACAGAGCGATTGAATGTCCATGTGAACTGAAACCACCATTAGCGGGGTTTGCAAATGGAGCGAATGCAGCGATTTTTTTTTCTATAATCGCAGCCTGTGAATTATCTTTTATCTTGGCAAAGAACTATTGACTGTGGTATCTTGCACACCTTCCGAGTTTTAAGTCACAGCTTCCACACGAATCAGATTACGAGGGTGTAGCCATGACAGAAATGTGGCGAAAAAGGACCAGACAAGTCAGTGTGTTCGACCTGCCGGTCTGGCAGAAGTGAAACAGAAATTTACTAGAGAAATCGAGGCGCCCTCCATCTAATGTTAGTTGCAGCAAACATACCGCGTCCAATACTTGGTGGCGTTAACGCCAGTCGAAGCGGGGAGAAGCCACACTTCAAAGCGTTCTTGTGTACCGTGCTTGATGCCTGTACCATGAATGTGCATATTCTGTCTTTCAGGTCTGTCGGATACCTATGCCTTCCTGGCCACTACACGGAAAACTTCCCGCTGGCCCTGAAGAGGCTACTGACAGGCAAATTTCAGTAAGGATGACAATGTCCGTTGCTTCATATAATTTTATTTTGTTTGTGTTGCGGACAATGAATGATGCCTTTGCATTGCTGCACTTTGCATTCCTACAGATGGGCCGCACATGCATGGCTGGTAAGCACTTCCAACTCTGTGCAAGTATGCACGATAGCGTCAGTGCCAGCATAAAAAACTCGTTTCGTATTGTTCAGCCACATTGTGGAGATGCTGAGAAGCTCCATCTATGCAACAAGTCAATGTACTACAGTTATCAGATGCTATCATATTGCTACATGCATGCATACTGAGATTCTAGGGGGCGACACACGTGTGTGCCTGATGACGAAGACGAAGGGTCGTCTCCGCTCACTCGCTGGTGAACTGGTCACGCCATTACCGCTGGTTTCAAATACATCTATTCCACAGCCTCGTCGATACGGCGTCTCTTCTTTTGTGTAACAATATATAATGACAAACGAATATGTAAAACATAGAAGAGATCGCAGAGTAGTTAAATGTATCGAAAAATAATCGAAATACTACTTGCTTATATGCAAACATCTATCAGGTTGACAACTTTCTAAAGACATAATGAACGGAAATATATAATGACAAACGAATATGTAAAACATAGAAGAGATTGCAGAGTAGTTAAATGTATCGAAAAATAAATAATGGAAATACAACTTGCTTATATGCAAACATCTATCAGGTTGACAACTTCCTGAAGACATAATGAATGGAAATGTAAAGACTTATTTTTCCAAGGTAAGGCTGACTACACGAAACCTTGACAGTTGCTTGCATTTCACTTTTGCCTTCCTGTGGAATGCTTCTGTGGGAATGCAAGACCTGTTGCATTTTTCTAGCTGCATGACAACCACAGGTAGCATCCTTCATGGGCTGTGACTACCGTATATACTTGTGTAATGAACACACCCCCAACTTCAGTTATCAAAATTTGATTTTTTTTTTTCTCCCACGTAATAAACGCGTGCCCTACATTCATCCGTTGCAGTTTGCGAATGAACACGTGGCACCTTCTTGCACGTTAATCTTTCTCATTTCTCATTATCGACGGCCCCCCTCGGTTCGCGCTCTCTCCTCCATTTCACTCGCTGCCGCGCACAGTTCTTCATTTTAACATAAAAGTGTGTAATGCCGGGGTCCATCACTGAGGTATTTCCGTCATGGATGTGATATTGTAAAATATATACGAGCAGATTGCAAAGGAAAGACAAGAAAAGCTCTGTAGCGGGGCTTCGATCCAGTGACCTCTCGCTCCTCATCGGGTCACACAAAGAACTAGGCGACAGAGCTTATGTTGTTCAGCTTATTAAGGGTGAGCCATTTATGTATACCGTGTACCGTTGGTGGTCCTCAGAGCTCAGCGGCTTCAGTGAGTTTCCGTCGTCAGTAGCTATATGGCGCGAGGGCCACACGTTGGGCGCTAAAGAACCTCAAGTGGTTGAAATTTCCGGAGCTCTCCTCTACGGTGTCTCTCATAATCGTATGGTGGTTTTGGGACGTTAAACCCCACATATCATCATCACACATTGGGTGCACTTTAAAGGTCGTCACCCCTCACGTGTTGTGCCTCCACACGGCGTGGTCAAGGTGTGTATGGTTTCCTGGTGTGGTTGCTCAATTGCACATGTGCTTATATTGTAATTTGGGTGCTTTGTACCTGTTGTGCACCGCAAATTTGCTTTGAAGTTACAGTGGTTAAAGAGAGAATGAAGGTCAATTCGTTCGTATTCGCATTTATGAAAGTAGCACACTGCTCACAAATGAAAAAGTAAGAATTGTGACAGTTATCCATGCTCGACCTGTATATCCCTGTGCGTTTATTTTTAGTCTTTCTTTGCGATTGAGCAACATGCTTCAAGTGTCAAGCTGGGACAGTTTGTTCATGCCCATCCTGTGTATGCTCATTTCGTGCGTGCTTTCTGCTTGAGGTGTGCACTGCAAGTTTTGAGCTGCTTGACATTCTTGGCGTGACATCGCTTCTTTCTTTTCTGCCCCTGCCACGTTAGGACCATTCTCCTTCCAATGTTGCGCGCAAACAAAGAGAGCAAAAAAAAAAAAAGGGCCTTGGAGTGTTTGTTCTCTCTCAAATCAATCTGCTTCTCTCTGCGTATAGATGCTCCTCCTTTCTCATCACGTGCTGGCCACGCTGCGGCTTTGGCGGAGAGGGTAGTAATGAAAAGCAGTCGTTGTTGTCATCGTCTTTAGAAAGTGTCAAAGCTGGACATTGCCGCGCGCAACTTCTCTTGCCAGGAGAATGCTGAAGCTGAAGTAGGCTTACTTTGCAAGCTGCGCGCAGAATTGATTGACTGGTTGCAAGACAAATGTGTGCAGACGCACATAACTCTATTACTTCAATTAATTAATTAATTAATTTATTTATTTAACAATACTGTAGGCCTTCTTCAGACCCATACAGGAAGTGGGCATACATCATCACAGGTAACCAAGTAGATAGAAAGTTCAGGAAGTACAATATCTTGAGGGACGATAAGCACAACAGCGATATACTTACAATAGCGGGTTCAACAATACTACATTGGTGCTCTTCCCATACACGAGAAGACGAGAAAAAAATATTAAAAACCACGTACTATGCAAGAAAAACAATATATATGTACAAAGATTACAATGCACCCCTGCAAAACATGTTTTTTGTTATTGCAACAACAAGAACAGCAAAATGTAACTATACTGGCTCTGTTAACTGCTCCACAAAAGAACAAAATTCATCAATATTTATAATATTAACAGCTTCACCTGGTAGCGCGTTCCATGCGGTTACAGCGCAAGGGAAAAAGGAATATCAAAACACATTGCTGTGGGCACTGAAGAGACGCATACATTTATCATGGTTCATCCCACTAGAACGGCGGCCAGGCGGATGAATACTATAGTCGTCTTTACTGATTTTATGGCGACCGTGAAAAAGGAGATAAAAAAACTTCATAGAAGCAACATGATGCTGGCTAGGCAGAGTTGCTAGGTGCGCTGTGAATGATGGCTGTCTTGTGATTTTGAATAAATGTAAATCTTCTATAACTTCCCCCTCGTCTGTTAGCTCAATGCTCATGCGCCACTGCAAGGGGAGCCCTCCGTTTACTTAGCTTTCATCAGTTTGAACTTTTTTAATTTGAACAAACTTTCGGGCCCCTTCGAGTTTGAATTATCGAGATTCGACTGTACCAAACACCCTAGCACATACATGCTATTTTGGAGCGGCAGCGGCACCATGTGCTGTCGAGAGAGGCCATATATCACCAATTTGTTGCAAGCATGTCGTAAGTTTCTGCAAAACCAGAAAAAAGCCCTTATTGTGGAAAAAAGAGCATGGAGATTTCGATAACATTGTAGCATCGCTGATTCTTACTTCGTTTGCAATTTTTTCCTTTATGCTGGTACTTTAACGAACGCGAGATATAGGCTACCTTTTTTGTAGTTACTCTCGCGGGGAGAGCTAGGCAGTGGCCGTATTTTGTTGTCAGTATTGTTATCGATGGTTTGTATTGATGCTTCGGTAGTAGTAGTTTGCTTCAATGTCAACGCCGTCACCGTGTGAGTTTGCCACGGAATTTGCAAAGTGTGTCTGACACACTTTGCGTATGCTTCAGGATTCCCCGCAAGATCACAGGAGACGCCACTGTCACGTGTAAACAAAAAATTGCAAAAAAAATTAATAACGAGGCGCTGATAAAGAGTGCACAGGGACAGCTTACAAAATATTATGCCATCAACTACCGAAGATGAGCGAAGTGCAACAAAAAAGTTGTTTCCAAACAGCGTAGGCGTAGGTCAATGGCGCTTTCCATGTAGGTAGTTTGCACATGCGCACCACCCTCGAGGAAGTACCCGTTATGGTGGCTAGAAGGAGAGGTGTCAGCATCGGCGCGCGCGTATCAGTTTTTTTTGTTGCAAATATTTCACGCTACCATGCGAATTATAACAGTCTAACTGTCACAATCCTGGCGGCGCACTGCAAAGTGTGTATTGGCACTGAAAACTAGTGTTATCAATGCACTTCGTAGTATATCAGCTACGAAGCTTAGAAGATAGAGAATCAAGTGACTTGCCGTGAGCGTGACACCAAAACAGTCTGTGCAGTTTTCAAATTTGATGCCGTAGTGTTCTCTGTGAAGTCTCAATGCACATAAAGGTATCATCAACCGTTATTTTTATGACTTGCGCATTCAAGATCTATTTTTACAAGCAAGACATTTATTTTCTCGAGAGCAAAAAACAACATGAAAAATAAACACAACACATGCATTGAGGTTGAAGAAAACTGCAAGTTATATGAAACTCAGCTAAAGCAAGGGAATAAGGCAACTAAAGAGAACAGCAAATATACGATGATACAATGGGCATACATATACACGCATGACATTGAGATTTCATTGGCAAGCAGATATAGTCACAAACCAGTCCATGAAAAAGTTGATTTCTGCATATGTAAAACACAGCCAGACAGTGACATCACAGTTGTTAGTGGGAGATTTATAACAATGTGAACAAGACAATAGTAAAATCACAAGAAACAACAGAGTGTGAGTAATACACAATAACATAAAATAAAACCTTGTTTGCTGAGTTAACACTGACAGCCAAGTCATACGTCTCAACTTCAAGAACTTAATTTTCTCTCTTTCTCTCTTTTTTTTGATTGGACGCATTTTCTTCAGCAACGAGAAAATGCATGCTAGTCAGTGTAAAGAATCTAATTATCTGATTTGTCACTTCTAGTTTGTTTATGGTGTTCACAGCTGACCATATTTAACCTCTTCACAGACGTACAAGAGATAAGGTCTGTTATGCTGTCACTTTTCAACTTGTTGAAAATGAAGCAATAAGCGAATGCATCTTCCATAGCTTTGAGCAGGTCTGTTGAGGACTCGGACGGGTACAGAAGGCATGATTCTGCCGGAAGCAAGCTGGAATTCTTAGTGAAGCAAAAACCTGCTACATTCGTTGCACTTCGTCTTTTTCACCA